AAGCATGTGGTCGAGCATGCCCGCCGCATTGGTGGGGGCGGAGGTGAGGCTGGGGACCTCGTTGAAGCAACGAAGCGTGTGGTCGAGCATGCCCGCCGCTTAATGCGGCGGGCATGCTCGACCACGTTGTCACGGACAAACTTCTAAATAGGATATTTGATGTAATGCTTATGTATGTCCGTGTCTTTTGGTATGTTCATGGTTTGTATAGCATGTAGAGGGATGACCGAAGGCTTAATAGTCCCATTTTAGTAGGGTTGGTGGCCGCTTTAGACTTGTAAATAAAGGTTGTGTCATGTGGACACGTGCGAGAGATTTTCGGTCTGTAATGGACCATTTTACCCTTTGTTGTGCAACTATTCAGAGCTTGTAAAGTCTGTTTGTAATTTGCATTGTTTATGAAGTGTTTTTCGGAGATGTTTGCTTGTGGATCCCGAATGAGGCATTTTCTCTAACTCGTTTCTCTCTTTTGTGGGTCCTAAGGGACATGGGAGGCTTCGGGGAGGCTGACCTTTGCGGACGGACACGCAAGGGTGCCGCACGACTTAGGCAAAACCAGCTAAGTTCGTGACAGATGGTATCGGAGCGGGACAAGCACTCATAGAAACACTTAGCATGCAAACGTGGGGAACCTAGCAAGACTGCGTTGAGGGCAGTCAACACACGCGCGACCGTTTGGGAGGAAAACGGGCATGGAGATGTAGGGAAAAAGAGTCGCTCGGAGGAGCGGGCATCTGACATTGGCATTCAGAGGAATGGCCAACCCTTCGCGCAAGAGGCACCACGAGAACAGGCAAGCTTAGAAGAATGCGGAGCGCACAAAGGTTGGGATGGCTGAGTTTGAGCTACAGCTCAACGTTGACAACTATACTTGATGGTGCTCAAGGCAAGCAAGGCGCTTGGTAAAGGATGAGACCATTCAAGGTGGAATGAGTTGCTCAACGACCAAAAAAGTTATGCAAAGCTCACAGAGGGGAGGGGAATTGCTAGCTCGAAGAATTTGGTACTCATGCATGGGCTTGTATGCGGACGATGGAATGTTCGCGGCCATCCCAAGGCAACCGAAACTCGGTGCCATGGAGCATTGAAACTTTCTCTTCGGCATGTGAAGGATACGTCCGTAGGAGGCTGAAGTGTGCAACGAGTTCAGCATGTTGCTAGGCCTTGAGTGGTGCAGCGAGGGCTGTATTGACGTGGAGTCGCAATCTAACAAGTGCGTTTGCAGGAGGCAGAACAATACACAGTTTGTTGAGCAGATCGGAGTAGTCCAAGAGGATGGTGGTCTCCGAAACGAAGAGAGATGTTACTCCAACGGGACAGTTATCCAGGAGGGATAAGTCTCGGCTCTCCAGAGGGAGAATCATGTGGGACGAACCTCACATGTTGAGGAGTACCTCAACAAACAACAACTCCACGAAGCTCAATGGACTGAGCAAGCGACGAGGAGTCGTTGCATGATCTCGCTCGAGAGAATGCATTGGTGGATGCATTGCGAGATCAAGTGGGGGGACGACCCAAAGCAACACAAATGAAGGCACACTTGGAGTCGATATGGAGATCGGACTCAAGGGAGGGTTGACCCGTGGAACGGTGGGCGCGAGGGCCACCATCGACTCAATGCAAAAACGAGGAGCGGAGCAACTTGGGTGTAACTTGGCGAAGTACCCAAGCCGCATGAAGGGAGCCAGCATAGAAGTTGGAACATGGAGCAGAGGCACAGTGCTTTCCTTAGACAGAGTCAAGGACATGAACTCTTGCAGAGGCAAGAGTAGGATCATGTTGTTCCATGGGTCCTTCATTCTGACGGAGCGGACTTATCTTGCATGGTGCCAAAGACGAAGGGAGCTTCTGGGCACATGCACCTTATCTCGGAAAAGCATTTGATGGAGGAACTAAGGCGACTCAAATTTGTGGAGGCGAAGTTGGGTTCAGAAGGTCTTAGCACGGGGCAAGAGGACGCAGAGACGGGTACTCTTGAAGAATATGCCACAGTGTTGCAAATCAAAGTTGCTAGGCAGGAAGCAGTGCGTAGCGGAGATTGTGTTGGTAGGGGCAGATGCCCAGGATCCAGACAATGGGGCACTAATTGCAGCGAAGTCGGGGGACTTCGGGAGCTACTAGGCGACGGACTGTCCTAAAGCGGTGCTTCATCTAGGTGTGACCCAAGAGTGGGTGGATGAAGATCGATTGCCAAAGGAGCGAACAAAATCGAAGGTGGAAGAGACCCTGCGATGTATTGGCAGAGGCCACACATGAAGGGTTCACAATTCGAGTTCATCCCACAAGGATCAGAATGCAATAGAGATGTCACCAGGAGGCGACATGGTGCAGCGAATCGTGGTGGAATAGTTTGTGGCAATGCGATACACACGACATAGGCCCGCGAGGGACTAGATTATACGGAAGCATAATCAGGAGCTACTGGAAGCTCCACTTCGGTGAACAACACGACGGTAAGAAGGGTTATGGATTCAAGGAGTGAAGGCCATGGTACTGCAAAGGCGGGTCTTCCGTGCGTGCATCGAATTTTGCATCGGATGAAAACCTTGGTCATCAGCATATGGGGGCTGGGTTCCACCAAGGGAAAAGTTCGAATGCAAGTACCAGTGAGTCCCATGGGAGGGACTTGATCATACAGAGGTATGATCGAAGCAGCTAGAGAGTTGGACTGCTCAAGAGCTCATATTCGCTTAAGGGAGCCCGGCAAGTCAGAGGACAAGGTCGAGTAAGCGAACGTTGCTACCAAGGAAGCTAAGGAGAACAGAATCGGTGCAAACCCTATAATGCGATGGCAGAGGCCATGCATGGGAGTTGCAGTCTGTCTTTCCATCGACCAAAAGGGAGCTGCTTGGAGAACACAGAGGTGTTGAAGCAGGGGGTCGAAAGGGGCGAGGAAGCGACGACGAGTCCAGAGGGACTTAGCTACCCAAAATCAAGCATCAGTTAGAATGGAGGTGGACTCGGAGGAGTGCCACAGAGGCATATCTACTGATTGTGAAGAAAAGGGATGCAGATGCGAGGCGACGGATAGTAGTGCCATGGTACCGCAGAGGCGGGACTTCCGTGAAAGTCATTGATCCCTTGCTCTCATGGAGGGAGAGCGCTTGGTCGTGAAAGGGGCCGAGGAGGTGGAGCATGCAGAGGCAATCTCCAAGTATCGAGACAAGGCTGAAGGGCAGAGGCCGAGGAACTTCGTAAGACCGGTGTTAATGAGCTTCTCATCAAGATAGCCGAAAGTGAAGGACTTCGGGTCATGCAAGAGTGCATAACCAAGGAACGAAGCAGGCAGTACGCGGTGCTGTACCTTTGCTACTCGGTGGAGTAGGCGACAGGGTTGATGGAGAATACGGTACAATCCCAGAGGCGACTAAATCTATTAGAGAATTACTCCAAGTTAGGGTGAAAACTTCCTGCATTCCAGAAGTTCGATGGCATTGAGAAGGTGAATCATAGTAGCTAACTCAACACAAGGAGTGCAAACACTTCAAGTGCTTCAGAAGTGTGAGTAAAGAGCAGGCGAAGGCCAGTAACCAGCTCGATGCATGGAGTACAACCTCAAGGAGGCGAGCGAAGTCAAGTAACCTTTGCCTTCTCAACTCTTAAGAGAATGGGCAAAACCGAGTACCCCAATTCTCTTATCTATCCAGCAGAGGAGCTCTGCACAAGTTCAAAGACCCTTTGAAGATAATGGAAGACAATAGTTATCAAATCCTCACCAACGGTGATCAGTGCTACTGAGAGTAGATTGTCCACTTCATTTCCCAACGAAATGTCAATCGAAAGCAGAAGTGATGCGAACCTACTTGGATGTGACAACTAAGTGAAAAAAGAGTCAATAAGCAAATTTTGTGGAGGAAGGACCCAAAACGTCAGAAGTTTGTGAGAGGATGCTCGTTAAAGCTCCAACAAGCATCCACCCAGTTCTAGTAGCATGAGGCATTTGAGAGACTGGCGCAGTAAGGATGGTCTTTTCCTTCATCTGGAGGATCCGCAGGAACCAACAGGGATCAACACAACTCAGCCAACCCCACACTAGAGTCAGAGTCATTGGCGGGTTGAAGTAGCATGGCGGATCAAAGGTTCGACTACTCGAAAGCAAAAGCGGAGAGCAACTGGGAGTCAGGAGGCGCATTGCAGCTGGAGCAGAAGATTTAAGACTCGGCAAAGGCGAGAAGTTGCAGTGTCGACAAAGGCTTTGACGAGGACGTCGAAGGAATAAGTGGGGGAGAATGTCACGGACAAACTTCTAAACAGGATGTTTGATGTAATGCTTATGTATGTCCGTGTCTTTTGGTATGTTCATGCTTTGTATAGCATGTAGAGGGATGACCGAAGGCTTAATAGTCCCATTTTAGTAGGGTTGGTGGCCGCTTTAGGCTTGTAAATAAAGGTTGTGTCATGTGGACACGTGCGAGAGATTTTTGATCTGTAATGGACCATTTTACCCTTTGTTGTGCAACTGTTCAGAGCTTGTAAAGTCTGTTTGTAATTTGCATTGTTTATGAAGTGTTTTTCAGAGATGTTTGCTTGTGGATCCCGAATGAGGCATTTTCTCTAACCCGTTTCTCTCTTTTGTGGGTCCTAAGGGACATGGGAGGCTTCGGGGAGGCTGACCTTTGCGGACGGACACGCAAGAGTACCGCACGACTTAGGCAAAACCAGCTAAGTTCGTGACAACGTGCCATAGTTGCAGCAGACAAATGCAACTGCTAGAGCACAAGTTCTATAACAATTTAAATGGATATAAGACATTCCTGCTCTAAAACCAATTTAAGAAAAGCACAAAATGATGGCACATTAAATAATTTAAAAAAGATCAAATAGTTCAGAGCTGTTAAGCCTGTTATCATTGTTCTGAATTACTTGCATGCATAGCCAATGACTTAGCAAGTTTAAAATATCTTAATATATGGTAGTAAGAAAGCCAAGTGATCTAATATATATACAGATGTCCAAAATGTCAATTCAACTTTAACTATACCCTCATGTAGCATGAACCAAATTAAGTAGAGTGCATCTAGATTGCCTCATCACCAAGGTCAAACCATGATCCAGAACATTCCACATTTCATTTAACTAAGTTATCATAAAAATAATAAGAAGTAAATAACTTAAGAATAACAATCGATCAAAATTACAACGATAGCATCTTATTTCACTGTGATAGCTGATGATGCAACTCAAATACAGCCTCAGAGAGTGGAAGTTGGCACATAGATGCCACACAAAGCAAAAAATTATTGAACAAAATTTCACGAGTTCCAATAAACTAACACAGGTTACAAGTAAACATAGAAGTAGTTTCTGTTTGATGTTAAGTAACTTAACCAAAATGTATAACAAGAGTGAACAATTCAAGTCGGTTGCCTACAAAGAGAGTGCACCTTCAAGTTTCTTCCAAGCATCCACAGCATCACCTTTAGTTATCGTCCTCATCTTGGCCACAACATCCCTTGCCTCATCAACCTTTGAGTCCCTCAACAGATCATCAATCAGTTCTTTAACAACCTCAAATGGTGGTGCTATTTTCTTAGTCAAGCACTCCTTGCAAATTGCAAGTGCCTCGCAAAACTCATTTTGCTCAATCAAACCCCGAATCAACAAAACATATATCTCAACATTAGGCGAGAGACTTTCACTCCCATTCTTCCTCTTCACGGTCCTCATTCTCTTGAACACCCGAACTGCAGCACTAACAATTCCTTCCTTGATGAACCCACGGATTATGGTTCCAAAGGACATCAAGTTAGGTTGAATCCCTTTCGAAATCATCACTTCTAGCAACTCTTCGGCCGTACGACTCTCTGAAATTTGGCAGAACTTGGAAATCCTACAATTATAGGTCACGACATTGGGCTCCAATCCCTTGTTATTCAAGATTTCATTAAGAATCGCTTCAAATCGATCGTCATCTCCTTTCTTCAAGTACCCGCTCAAGAGAGTATTATAAGATACAATATCCGGCTTAACACCTTTCTTACCCATTTCCTCGAGCACGTTGCTGGCAGTTTTAACATCACCTTTTCTGCAGAGGGCTTGCAAGAGGATGTTATGAGAGATAACGCCAGGAGAAATGCCGAGCTCCTTTGGTGCACGATTGAAGGTCTTGATGACTAAATCAAATCGACGATTGTGTAAATAGGCAGAGAGAAGAGCGGAGAGGGATTTATCAGAGCGAGGGCGGCCGATGATGTCGGGGATGCGGTCGAAGGTGGCGGCCGCCTGGTCGGGCATGCCGGCGGAAGAATAGAGGGAGATGAAGCGGACGAGGAAGCCCTCGGACTTGGGGGACCTGGGGTCGGACAGGAAGGGGGACAAGACGCGCTCGACAAGGTCGGGGCGGCGGGCGCGGGCGAGCTTCTGGACGGCGAAACCAAAGAGGTCGCGGTGGGCGTGGAAGCGAGGGAGGTGGGCGGAGGACTGAAAGAGCTCGGCGATGCGGTTGGGATCGGACTCGGAGTGGATCGCGGATCTGAGAGCCGAGAAGGGGTTGGGACCGGCGGAAGCGGGGGGCTCGGAGTGAGGCGCGATGGTGGAGAAGGGGAATCGGAGGATGGAGGAGAGTCTAGCAGAGGAACGGCGGATAGCTGCGACAGCGGCGGCCATGGTAGCAGGAGACGGTGATGGAAGAGGGTTGGGCTTCTGGGGTTTAAGGCGGCGAACTGCACGGGTTTGGGAAGACAAAGCGGGGCTTTGTATGTGACGATGCGGGATCGAAAGGATCGAGCTCGATGGATCCATCGAGTCCAAATGAGGAGTCATACCACGATGTTGGCTCAAACGAATAGGGCCAAAGGTTTAGGTCTTGCATCGAAGGCAAGCTTGTGCAACATCAATATATGCATGTTTGGGTTCAGTGAATTAAACTCCATCGTGGAGTCAACGTAGCGGTAAATGTCTCCCTTTCCTTCTCCTGACGTTGGGAGGTCGGGAAGATTATTGAGATAATAAATATTTTTAGACTTTAAATCAATATCAGATATGAAATTCAATTATAAAAACACTTATATGCAAAAAAAAATATTATTAAAATTTATTTATCCCATAAATACTTCATATATTTTTAGATTTTTGATAAAAAAAATATTATGAGAGAATTTTAGAGATTGATGTTGGAAGATGATGATTAGATGAAAAACATGAATGTGTTGATAGAATATATTTATTGTTATTGAAAGATATCGTTGACATTCAAATCATGTTTTTTCATACTTATGTATACAGGATTATTTGAGATACATTCGAGATAGAAATGTTAAGCTCCTAATTAACTAAGTTGTTTGATATGTCTTCGAGGTAAAAATATCAAGTTCCCAAGAAGATCATTCAAAGTATCTATGCATAAAGATCGAGGTTAAGAAAGATTTTCTTGATAAATCTTTTCAACGTTCAAGTTAGTAACCAAATATAGATAGTACAATTACCAATGATAAAAAATTATCTTTTAATTATATTAAAAATGAACTTTTATGTAGTAAATATTCTTTAAGGAGACATCTTTAATCATACATAATAATCTTAATTTGATATTTTATCCATTAGACGATTCATTTGATATTTTAACCGTGTAAAAGATAAAAGGAGAGACAATCATAAATTATTTATCTTGAATTAATGTCCATGGGAGCAAATCCTGAGAGGCAACTTTTGTCTCCCCTTCCAACCTCGCATGGATTACATGTCAATTAGTTGATAATATGTTTTTTTATCATTTATCCCCCATCGAAAACATGTTTCGGAGGCTTGTTGGTAAGAAGAATCCCACTCGATAATGAAAGGATTAAATAAAAGACAAGAATATGATAAAACATCTTTATCAAATTTATTTATTTATTTACAAAAGATAACTAAGATTTTACAATATATTATTAGAGTATTTACCAAAGTAAACTATTGATCGGCTCACACGAGACATGCACCATTTTGATTGGCAAGTGCAAATCAAATCAAACCTTTGAAGGCTCGTTATATATTACTTTTACACTTACATCTTAAAATTTAGATTAAGATTCTTATAGTCATAGTTATAGTTGTAAAAGTAAAATTATATATATATATATATATTGCTTTTTATACCGTTAGCTCCCCTAACGAATGACCCTTTATACGAAGTGAACCAACCATGTCCTCCGCACCTTCCTCCTATGACAAACATTCTTCCTCTCTTCCCTACTACTAATACTTCACCTTCATCCACCCCTTGGTCTCAGCACAAGGAGACATCCAACTTCTCTACCACTTTCCCCACTCTCATGATCCCAGTCATGGAGAAGTTGGTCTCTCTTGCAGAACCAGTCGGCTTCCTCTTCCTTCAGACACTACTCAGCTACGCTATCATGATGCTCCTCTAGTCCTCTTCGTGGGCGGGTTGGAATTGGATGATGAAAACCACGATGGGAACATTGATTTTGTTGAGTTTGTAAGGTCGATGGAGATCAGTTTTTGCTAACACTGTTCCTCCTCCCTTCTGACCTGTGCAAGTGTCCTAAGGAAATGAGAGTTTGTCCCAAGCAAACATTGAAGTTTATTCTTACCAAATCATCTGTTAATTGTCATCCTTCCCGATCAATTATTTCCAATCCAATCTGTGTTTTGCTTAGACTGTCATGCCATAAACTTTGATTAGTAAAACCAGAGATCCTTGAGAGAAGATCTGAGCTTCAAGCAGATGCATCAATCCTTTGAGTAGGTAGGTTTCTTGGAGTAGGTAAGCAGATGCATCAATTAAGGTGTATGCATGCACAGCGAAAGCAAGCTAAGGTGCCACTATACCACGCATATGTTTAGCCCAATGCATAATGGAAGTGGCATCAGTACTCCATACTATCAAACCCCGCTGCCCACATTTCGACCAACTTAAACAACGATGGAGGAACATACAACGAAGACAAAATTAGAACGAAAAGGACTCACAAGTAGAAGCACCCTTTCGCTCCCTTGGCTTCCTTCACGTGCGGCGTACACGGAGACGGGGCCCACTCGAACCTCCGCACCCGCCCCCACCAGCTCCGACCCCACCCACGCCTGGCCCGGGCCACCTCCGCCTCTTCCATCAACCGGCGGTTCTCCCCTCGGAGGCGGTCCGCCTCCACCCGCGCCTCCCCCTTCTCCTTCTCCGGCCGCGACATGGCCTCCACGCACTCCCTGTTACGCCGCTCCAGGCTGTATATCTGCGCCTGCAGGTCCTCGATCTTCCGCCCCAGCAGGCACACCCGGTGGTCCTCCCGCAGCTTCACCACAACCCGCGCCAGCTCGGCGGCCCGCCGCCGAATGTATCCCAGCTCCGCCGCCACCGACCGCGCCTCCTGCTCCGCCGCCCTCGCACGGAACTCCAGTCGCGCGTTCTCGCCCAGCAGCACCAGCCGCTCCGCCTCCAGTACCTCCACCAGGCTCCCCTGCAGATCGATCTTCCGCGCCGACTCCGCCAGCAGCCGCTCCGCCTCCGCTCCCTCCGCCTCCAAGAGGTCCCGCTCCACGGCCGCCACCACCAGCTCCGCCACGATCATGTCGAGGTCGGCGCCCGCCACGGCGGGGGACGTATCTCGCGAACGGGCCTGGGAGGGCAAGGGCTGGAAGGAGAGAGAGCTCTCGGCGTCGGAGGACGCCGAGTCCGGGAGGTCGGGGTCGTCTTCCGCATCGAGGTCGGACGGGACGGAGGAGGCACGACGGTGGTGGCGGCGGACGAGGGACTGGGAATAGCGGTCGGCGAGGTAGAGGTAGCGGTGGTGGAGGTCGTGGAGGAGGGCGATGAGTTGGGGCCGCTTCTGGTAGTAGTTCTCAGCCCGCACGGCGAACGAGTCCGACTCCGGGTCGTCCGGTACATTCACCGCCAGTGAGTGCACCCTCTGTTCTATATCTACACTCAAATAACCAAATTACCCTTGTTCACTATGCTCCCGTTGAAGACGAAGCAGAGTAGAGGGAGTGCTGGCTCACCTGCGAGCGCCGCTTGAAGCCAAGGAGGGCATGTCGAGGACCGGCACGTCGTCGCCACCGCCATTGCCTCAATAAGCGAGCCAAGATACCCAGCCAACGCGCTAAAAACAGGGGAATTGATGGGTGCTGAGACGCAGTATAGAACAAAACAAAAGCATGGGCAGACCTTCCCCAGTAACTGAGCGTGACGCAACAGTAAAAAGACGAGAAGAAAAAGAGAGGATCGGAAACAAAAAAGATAACTTTTTACGAGACCCGAGGATTCCATTGTCTGCTTCCGGTCGTGAAGCATGTGAACCTATGACCACGACCGCCGGCGGATAGTCGTCTCGTCATGGTGGAAAAGGCAATAATTGGCTGGAAATATTGATGATCCGATATGTTTTCTTCATAAATCTCGATCTAAAGATATAGATCGAGGAGGAGAAATGAATGATCGCCAACAACAGCCATTGTAACAGAGCAGGATGTTGGGTTTTTGCTGTCTCTCTCTCTTTTCTTCTGCTATGCGAAGGTTTTCTGCCTGGAAAGGGGGGCGGGAATCGGAGACCATGAACTGAGAAGAAGCCTTACCTCTACGTAGGAAGAGCGGCCTGGTCGACGGAGAAGCTCAACTCTGCAGCCTGGGGAGCGACGTTAGTATCAGCAACAGGAGGAAGACAAAGAAGGAATGTAATCTCTTGCCGCTATTGGTTATATAGAGACTGAAACCGCGCTCGTAACACAGTTGATGCATCCGTTCATCCTCTACCGTCCATACCATCGCGGACGGTTCAAATAGCCCAATCGGAGATCAGATGAACTACAGTTCTAGCGTTAGTTACTTGATCCGATCAATTCGATTTAATCAAACATTATCCGACTCAATTTAATGTAACTATTTTGTAATTTATGACTATTAGGCGAGAAAAAAAAAACAAAAACAAACAAATATAAATGAAGAGAAAATAAATTACTCCTTCAATTCCTAATTAATATCAGTTCAAGTGGAACAAAAGAAAACATTATGCAGAAAGACTTGGAGCAAATCCCTCTCTCTACTGAAACTACTAAGCCAGCCTATTCCTTGAATCATGAACATGTAACTTGAACTACGAGCTTCCTCGGTGAGGCAAGTTTGGCACAAGAAGTCCCAATCTTGTCACTGATCTGGATCGAGCATGAATCCCTTCCCAGACAAGCATCCTTCAAGATAGCAACAGCCTCGTCGGAGACACATCCGCCGCTTCCGTAAGCGCCGCAGGTCCCATCAGGTTCGCCGAAGGTAGCAAAGTCTACACTCGAAATGGTGCGCCCTCCTTGGCACGACAAGCTCAGCACGTCTCCCTCGCTGGCGCTGGTGCACGCGGTGCCAACAGTAACGGTCTGGAAGTTGACCTGGTTCGGGTTGCCGCCGGCCTCCTCGAACAGCGTCAGGGTGTTGGGCTCTCCGCGCTTCAGGAACGACCGGGGAACGTGATACCATCGTTGGGAAGCCTCTCCGCAGGCGGTCTGACACTTGTTCGGCTGGAAATTGCCGCGGTAGTCGCATTGGTTGCAGCCGTAGGGATTAGCGGTGAAGTTTGGCCAGAAGCGACCTAGGCTGTTGCCGTTCACCCACGCCTCTCCTTTGCCGAGTCCGAGCAAGTCGACAACGACTGGTTCCGATCCTAGTGGAGCTTGGAATGTTGTCTTCAGCAACAAATGCAGAGGAAGCATTAGTTCTTCGCCTTTACTGTATATTAGCACTAAGATATCTATGCAAAGAGTACTACCTTGTACCAA